TAAACTTGTTCAACTTAGCTTCAAAAACTCTAATCGGTGTAATCAATTAAATTAAATTGATATAAAATCTAAAATTAAGCTAATTGAATTGACAATATCCAAAATAACACAATAAACAAAATAAAGGGACTAACGATATTTGTCATTTTTAGGGATGTTTCGAGCATGATTTATTTTTTTATCTTTTTGTTTATTACGAAATGATGTGTAAAAAAGTAGAAAAATGATGTGACAACTTATTATCGAAATAAGATCCGTGATGGACTCCCATGGACCTAACAGCATCCTCCAGTCAGATTGAACTGGAGGGAAGCCGGGCCCTTTTCAAAAATAAAAATTTTAGTGACATCAACATCAACTTGCTTTATATAACAATATAGATAGTATAGATATATTACAAAGCTTGGGGGGTTTTTTTTTTCTGACCTTTGAATGATGATGATGATGATGATGATCACCAACAAAAGGAAACACAAAAGGGTGTTTCCTACTTAGACTTTCTTAGTCAATTATGCCTCTGAAAACACAGCATACAAGCTCACACACTTTACATACATGCCTAGACATGGAAGTTAGCTAAATGACCTGTGTTGATCAAGTCAAGTATATTTTGTCCTCAAATCCTTTTGTTTCTCGGTCTTAATGCTCTCTTAATTATTGGATCATACATCAAGAGATTCATTTGTTTTGAGATCTTCACATGCCTAACTATTGGGAGTGTATTGAGACAGAAATTGATCAACTTGGAGATAAAAACGATAATTGCACATTATTTTTCCACGCAATCAATCATAGAAGAGACTAGAAAATTTATCAAGAAAAATATTTGGAAAAGCAATTGTGTATTTGACGTTCATTTCAAGTGTAAAACCTACAATACAAGAATTGAATTTATAGCACGTGTCCCTTTTTTGGGTATGATTCTGACTAAATTTTATGGGCAAATAGATTTTTTTTTAAAAGAGACACAGAGTGGTTTCCACCTATGCGGTCCACATGTGGGTCCTACTTTTTCTGTATCTTCTGTGATTAATTTTGTTAAAAAATTATATGCAAGTAATACAGCTGTTTGGAGATAGAGAATCTAGCGTCGCACGTCATTAATTTGGAATGGAAATTATTCCAAAAAACCAAGCTTTCCTCTCCATGGCTTGAGAATCTGGAAGGAGCAGAGCAAACTTGCATCAACATTCATGAGGGCACCTGCATTGTTGAATTCTCCACAGTAGTTTGGTGCAGAGAATATGGTAACTAGCTGCCTGTCTGCAAAGAATTCATATCCATCTTCCACCACCTGTTAAATCCAAAACATTAATATATATTGTTTAGCATCCCTTTAAGTTTGACTATTTTCTCACATTAGTCTATAAAATTTATTTTTTTCTCACTTTGGTCCTTCATGTTTTAATTTTTTTTTTCACTTTACTCCTAAAGCTAATTTGTGTTAAAAATCAAACAGAAAAATGACATATTAACAATTACGTATTATAAAAATATTTTATATATAACTCACATCTTTGACATAAACTTAAACTCTAATATATTTTTTATGTTATATAATTATGGCATTTTCTATCTAATTTTTATCATAAATTAATTTTAGGAGTAAATAGAAAAAACTTGAAATTTGAAGAGCCACAGTGGGATGGTTAGGAAATCAGTTAGTTGTCGAAGGAGGTGGTAATAGTGGCTGCCGAAGAAGTTGGTAGCGGTGGTTAAAACTTGGAAGTAGAGTGGAGTTAGGATTGGAAAGAATAAGGGTGTAATGGGAAGTTTGGAAGTTAGGTATAAAGATATAGGTGTAATTAGGAGAGGTGAAAGTGATAGAAATCAAAATTTTGAATATTGATGAAAAGTGCAACTTGAAAAAGAGTGTAAATAGATAGGCATGTTGTGTAAATAAAAACTTCATTCTACTTTTTTCAACTTCTTCCAAATTGTTTAAAAATTCTATAATAACATATTTTATTCTAATTTTACCTTTTAAGAATCAACATGTGTTTGTGACATTACCAATAGCACTGAATAACTCCTTATTCGTGCTTATTTAGTTTGTTCATTAATAGAGATGGGTACACATTATGTATGTGTAATTTGTAATTAGATCTGATAACCATAGCAATTATTTGAAACAATTGAAGAGAATTGAAATAGTTTATAACAATTATACATCTGTAGATATGGTTTAACTTAGTTGTTACGATGGAATGTAAACGATAGCATTTTCAAAAGGCAGTCGCTTTCCTCCTGTCCTAGATCGGATATTGATAGCTATCTCATCAGATTAGTTTTTTGTCGACGTTTTATTTTTTTACTGTCCATTTTTTTTTATATAAAATTGATTTGATCACAAAGCTATCGATATCCGATCAACGTAATTTTTTACAGACAATAATATTTAACGAGTTCTACACATTGAACCGTTCAGATTATCGAAATAAGATCCGTGATAGACCCCCATGGACCTAACAGCATCCTCCAGTCAGATTGAACTGGAGGGAAGCCGGGCCCTTTTCAAAAATAAAAATTTTAGTGACATCAACATCAACTTGCTTTATATAACAATATAGATAGTATAGATATATTACAAAGCTTGGGGGTTTTTTTTTTCTGACCTTTGAATGATGATGATGATGATGATCACCAACAAAAGGAAACACAAAAGGGTGTTTCCTACTTAGACTTTCTTAGTCAATTATGCCTCTGAAAACACAGCATACAAGCTCACACACTTTACATACATGCCTAGACATGGAAGTTAGCTAAATGACCTGTGTTGATCAAGTCAAGTATATTTTGTCCTCAAATCCTTTTGTTTCTCGGTCTTAATGCTCTCTTAATTATTGGATCATACATCAAGAGATTCATTTGTTTTGAGATCTTCACATGCCTAACTATTGGGAGTGTATTGAGACAGAAATTGATCAACTTGGAGATAAAAACGATAATTGCACATTATTTTTCCACGCAATCAATCATAGAAGAGACTAGAAAATTTATCAAGAAAAATATTTGGAAAAGCAATTGTGTATTTGACGTTCATTTCAAGTGTAAAACCTACAATACAAGAATTGAATTTATAGCACGTGTCCCTTTTTTGGGTATGATTCTGACTAAATTTTATGGGCAAATAGATTTTTTTTTAAAAGAGACACAGAGTGGTTTCCACCTATGCGGTCCACATGTGGGTCCTACTTTTTCTGTATCTTCTGTGATTAATTTTGTTAAAAAATTATATGCAAGTAATACAGCTGTTTGGAGATAGAGAATCTAGCGTCGCACGTCATTAATTTGGAATGGAAATTATTCCAAAAAACCAAGCTTTCCTCTCCATGGCTTGAGAATCTGGAAGGAGCAGAGCAAACTTGCATCAACATTCATGAGGGCACCTGCATTGTTGAATTCTCCACAGTAGTTTGGTGCAGAGAATATGGTAACTAGCTGCCTGTCTGCAAAGAATTCATATCCATCTTCCACCACCTGTTAAATCCAAAACATTAATATATATTGTTTAGCATCCCTTTAAGTTTGACTATTTTCTCACATTAGTCTATAAAATTTATTTTTTTCTCACTTTGGTCCTTCATGTTTTAATTTTTTTTTTCACTTTACTCCTAAAGCTAATTTGTGTTAAAAATCAAACAGAAAAATGACATATTAACAATTACGTATTATAAAAATATTTTATATATAACTCACATCTTTGACATAAACTTAAACTCTAATATATTTTTTATGTTATATAATTATGGCATTTTCTATCTAATTTTTATCATAAATTAATTTTAGGAGTAAATAGAAAAAACTTGAAATTTGAAGAGCCACAGTGGGATGGTTAGGAAATCAGTTAGTTGTCGAAGGAGGTGGTAATAGTGGCTGCCGAAGAAGTTGGTAGCGGTGGTTAAAACTTGGAAGTAGAGTGGAGTTAGGATTGGAAAGAATAAGGGTGTAATGGGAAGTTTGGAAGTTAGGTATAAAGATATAGGTGTAATTAGGAGAGGTGAAAGTGATAGAAATCAAAATTTTGAATATTGATGAAAAGTGCAACTTGAAAAAGAGTGTAAATAGATAGGCATGTTGTGTAAATAAAAACTTCATTCCACTTTTTTCAACTTCTTCCAAATTGTTTAAAAATTCTATAATAACATATTTTATTCTAATTTTACCTTTTAAGAATCAACATGTGTTTGTGACATTACCAATAGCACTGAATAACTCCTTATCGTGCTTATTTTGTTTGTTCATTAATAGAGATGGGTACACATTATGTATGTGTAATTTGTAATTAGATCTGATAACCATAGCAATTATTTGAAACAATTGAAGAGAATTGAAATAGTTTATAACAATTATACATCTGTAGATATGGTTTAACTTAGTTGTTACGATGGAATGTAAACGATAGCATTTTCAAAAGGCAGTCGCTTTCCTCCTGTCCTAGATCGGATATTGATAGCTATCTCATCAGATTAGTTTTTTGTCGACGTTTTATTTTTTTACTGTCCATTTTTTTTTATATAAAATTGATTTGATCACAAAGCTATCGATATCCGATCAACGTAATTTTTTACAGACAATAATATTTAACGAGTTCTACACATTGAACCGTTCAGATTATCGAAATAAGATCCGTGATAGACCCCCATGGACCTAACAGCATCCTCCAGTCAGATTGAACTGGAGGGAAGCCGGGCCCTTTTCAAAAATAAAAATTTTAGTGACATCAACATCAACTTGCTTTATATAACAATATAGATAGTATAGATATATTACAAAGCTTGGGGGTTTTTTTTTTCTGACCTTTGAATGATGATGATGATGATGATGATCACCAACAAAAGGAAACACAAAAGGGTGTTTCCTACTTAGACTTTCTTAGTCAATTATGCCTCTGAAAACACAGCATACAAGCTCACACACTTTACATACATGCCTAGACATGGAAGTTAGCTAAATGACCTGTGTTGATCAAGTCAAGTATATTTTGTCCTCAAATCCTTTTGTTTCTCGGTCTTAATGCTCTCTTAATTATTGGATCATACATCAAGAGATTCATTTGTTTTGAGATCTTCACATGCCTAACTATTGGGAGTGTATTGAGACAGAAATTGATCAACTTGGAGATAAAAACGATAATTGCACATTATTTTTCCACGCAATCAATCATAGAAGAGACTAGAAAATTTATCAAGAAAAATATTTGGAAAAGCAATTGTGTATTTGACGTTCATTTCAAGTGTAAAACCTACAATACAAGAATTGAATTTATAACACGTGTCCCTTTTTTGGGTATGATTCTGACTAAATTTTATGGGCAAATAGATTTTTTTTTAAAAGAGACACAGAGTGGTTTCCACCTATGCGGTCCACATGTGGGTCCTACTTTTTCTGTATCTTCTGTGATTAATTTTGTTAAAAAATTATATGCAAGTAATACAGCTGTTTGGAGATAGAGAATCTAGCGTCGCACGTCATTAATTTGGAATGGAAATTATTCCAAAAAACCAAGCTTTCCTCTCCATGGCTTGAGAATCTGGAAGGAGCAGAGCAAACTTGCATCAACATTCATGAGGGCACCTGCATTGTTGAATTCTCCACAGTAGTTTGGTGCAGAGAATATGGTAACTAGCTGCCTGTCTGCAAAGAATTCATATCCATCTTCCACCACCTGTTAAATCCAAAACATTAATATATATTGTTTAGCATTCATGAGAGAGAGTTTTCTTCATCTCTAGAATTTCTACTAAACATATTAGTGTGTGTTTGTATATATGAAGAATTATTCAGTGCACTTAAAACAAGTTAAGATGGTGCTTTAAATTAACAGTCATTGGTCTAGACAGTGAGGTCCATCATTTTAATGGTAGTCTTTAAAGAGAAAACATAAAAGGTGTCAATTAGTAATTAGATTTGAGCATTGCTCTAAACGAACTTAATAATTTTTCTTACGTGTATATCGCCAATGTTCCTCTTTTTTTCGTAATCATTGAATTGAATCATATGAGAATTTAGAAATACCCAAATCTCAAAACATAATTTAATAATTGAGTGTAAAGTCATTATGAGATCAAACGGATAAAAGTATTTATTCTATAAACCAAAATCCCAATTCCGCGACTAAAAGGATAAAAGTATATGGGAATAGAAAATCTCATAGTTGTGGTTGTTTATAAGGATCGACACCACAAAAATAGTGTCTAAGTCTTCTCGAGGACTAATCTAATGGGCTTCTTCCTTTTTTTTTTTTAACTCTTCTTCTTTTATAGATTGATATACAAGTCAAAACTTTAAACTCAAGTCTTGTTCAATGAATTTGTCCCAAATTAACTCCCGAGCTGCCTCCTACATGTGAACAAGTTAGCCCAACAAACTTAGTCGAATGAGCTAATATTCAGGGCTATATTTTTATTTTTATTTAAAATTTTTCCTTTTTTATATATTTTTGACAAATTTAGGCCTAGTTTGGGAAGACTAAATAAGTGCAATTTTTGACTTTTTTTGTATTATGTGTAGAAAAAGTAGAGAGGAGATGTTGATTGATGTGATCCAAAAAAGATAAAAAGATGAAATAAGTGCACTTTTTTGGCAGTAGCCAAACTAGGCCAGTTAGGTTGATGAGCCACCTCTCTCCAGGAAGGGCCAATGGACCAAGCCTACAAATAAACTAACAAGTTGACTCTCACAAGCCATCACAAGTCTGCCTAGTCACAAACCAAATGATAACATCATATATATAGAGGGCCAATTATTAATAAACTTTATACTAATTTTAATAAAATTTATTACCACAATTATTTTTAAAAAATGGTAGTAGTAGATTATCTCTAGAGAGAAGGAAGAGAGGACCTGGTGAGCGCGGCAAATGAGATCAAGATCATGCTTCTTCAAAAACTCAACAACCTTATCCGCTCCAAACGTATACGAAACCCCCCTATCATTCTCCCCCCAGCCCTTTATATCCCTATCCGGATCGGCCCACAGCAAATCACACAACAACCCCTGGTCCGGCACATCGACCGGCCTCTCTATCGCCCGTATCTGATCCAAACTATCTATCTCCGGCGAAAGGCCGCCGTGCATACATAGAATCTTATCGTCGATGACGGCGGCAACAGGCAAAGAATTGAAACAGTCGGTGAAGATACGCCAGATGCGGACGCTGAAGCGGCGCTTGCACTCGTCGTAGAAGCCGTAGATGCGGTTGATGGAGGCGCATTCGTGGTTGCCTCGGAGAAGGAAGAAGTTATCGGGAAATTTGATTTTGTAAGAGAGGAGGAGGCAGATTGTTTCGATGCTTTGTTTGCCTCTGTCGACGTAGTCGCCTAGGAAGAGGTAGTTCGAGTCTGGCGGGAAACCCCCGTATTCGAAGAGCCGGAGGAGGTCTGGGTATTGCCCGTGTATGTCTCCTGCCAAATTGAGTTCTAGTAATGTCAATGTCAATAATAATAATAATAATGTACACCAAAATAATGCCTAGCTTGGCAAGTCTCAAAAAAGTCAAAAAATTATTTAAAAAGTTAAAAAGTTATCATTATTCATCAAAAATCAGCAATTACAGCTTCACAACTCTCAATACTAATTTTTTCCTACACATTAATTTATACAATTTTTTAATACATATTTTTCCATATAAAGTCAAAAAGTTAACGCAAACATTCATATTTTTAACCTCAATTTTTTAGTCTAAAAAGACAAAAAATACACTTATTTAGGACACCCCAAACAATCCTTAAATAAAATTACATTCAT